TTAGACCCTACTGCATACATGAAACGGTGCTCGCGCATGCGCAATATCTCCCGAGAAAAATAATATTTTGCCAAAATTATTTATTTAAAATGAAGAAGGGTTATCCTAGCATAGGTTTATATGATACAATTTTATCAGTACACCTCACTAATGAAATAGGAAGCAGACCTTACATGTAATATCTCCGCTGCATATATACCAGTCACCACACAATCTGGCTACGTTACTGTGTTAGCGCCGCGCATAACTCACCATAGGAATTATATTTTGTGATGATTATGCATTTAATATGATTATGGGGTATCCAGCATAGATTTCTGTAATAAATTGTTTATCATTAGACCTGCGTTTATAATTAGGAGAGCACCCTAGCCTGTAGGGTGCAAACTGCTAGAAGAATTTTTTGCGAAAATTACGCATTTACAATAGAGAGGATGTATTCTAGCATAGGTTTATATGATAACATTCCATCAGTAGATCTCACTTGTGAAATAGAAAGAAGGTATTGCATATAAGGTGCCCGCTGCATACCAGTCAGTTCATGATTACATTAGTGTGTTAGCGCACGCACAATATCTCACCAGAGGAGTCATATTTTGTGACGAGTATGCATTTTAAATAGTTTCGGGGTATCCGAGCATAGATTCATGTAATAAATTGTTACCAGTAGACCTGTGCTTATGGGAGGGGGTACATGGGGGGCTGGGGTACGGGAAGGGGGGACTGAGACGAGAGAGGCGGGCGTGGGAGACGGGAGAAAGGGGGGCGGGAGCGAGAGGGGAAGGAGCGGGAGTAGCGGAGGCCAGTGGGCGGAGAGGATTTTCATTCAAAACAAACTATTATACTATGTTGTGCGCGTTGTAAGAGAGAGAGAGAGCCGAGAGAGAGAGAAGCAGAGGCAGGGGGTGGGAGCGGAGAGAAAGGGGGGCGGGGCAGCGAGAGGGAAGGAGCGGAGTAGGGAGGCCAGTGGGGCGGGAGGATTTCATCCAAAACAAACTATTATACTATGTTGTGCGCGTGTAAGAGAGAGAGAGAGCGAGAGCGAGAGAGAGAGAGAGAGAGAGAGAGAGAGAGAGAGAGAGAGAGAGAGAGAGAGGAGAGAGAGAGAGAGAGAGGAGAGAGAGAGAGAAGAGAGAGAGAGAGGAGAGAGAGAGAGGAGAGAGAGAGATAGAGAGATAGAGAGCTAGAGAGAGAGAGAGAGCGTATACTAAGTAGAGAAAAATATCCAAAGAAATCCATATAGCACGAGAAATAAATACATGAGAAAATACATTGTACAGGATTAATACATTTAATACGCAAACTGTCAGAGAAATTAAGTGATCGACATTCAAAAAAGAAAATGCAAAATATAAAGGATTCTGGAGGTGAGGGGAGGTAGGGGGCAGGGGAGGGAGGTGGGAGGGAGAGGGGAGGGAGGTGGGAAGAGATGGGGAGGAGGCGGGAGGAGAAAGGGAGGGAGGCGGAAGAAGACAACTTTCTGTACCCCTCCTTATGAATAGGAGAGCGCCATCCGCGTCTCCTTCTTCCTCTACCGCCCCTCAGATAGCTCCTCTACCACTTTTTTCGGTTTCACACCCTCTTCTCCCATAAGCAATATTCTCCATAGATATCATATAACAGGGAGGGAGGCGGGAGGAGAAAGGGAGGGAGGCGGGAAGAAGACAACTTTCTGTACCCCCTCCTTATGAATAGGAGAGCGCCCATCCCGGTCTCCTTCTTCCTCTACCGCCCCTCAGATAGCTCCTCTACCACTTTTTCTCGGTTTCACACCCCTCTCTCCCTCATAAAGCAATATTCTCCATAGATATCATATAACCATATATATATATGATAATGATATCTATTAATATTCTTCTCCTATTGTATTCAGTCCGTACTACACGCCTGAAACCGTGCTTGCGCATGCGCAATATCACGGTGATCACCCGAGAAGTATTTTTTTGCGAAAATTTGTGCTTCGTGCATGTATGCTCACTTGGTCGCTTCCTAAATTCCTCGCGAGATTACAAGAGCTACGTGCGAGAATAAAGATGGCAGCGCCCTGTCTAGTTTTACAATTATTTTTAGCCGGTGTATTTCTTGTGAATAGACACACGCATTCAGCTACTGTTAGGGTGTTCACAGAAAATGAAATTACAAAATACAGGTTATAGACATAATACGGGTTAACTATAAACAGATAGTAATTCTTAAAATGGTTTTCTTACTTTTGTCAGTTTTGAAGTTTGTACTTGTACTTTTGTAGTTGTAATTGTATGTAGTTCAACTAGTAGTAGTAGTAGTACTACTACTAGTACTACTACTAGTACTACTACTAGTACTACTAGTACTACTACTAGTACTAGTACTACTACTAGTACTAGTAGTTGTAGTGTCATTTGGGTTCAACTTCAAGGATTATAAGAGGGCCGTTGCTGGCGGTACGGCAGCTGGGGTCCATACCTATGTGTCCCGGTACCTATGTGTCCCGGTACCCAGGTACCTATGTGTCCCGGTACCTATGTGTCCCGGTACCTATGTGTCCCGGTACCTATGTGTCCCAGTACCCAGGTACCTTAGATACAATAATGTAACCCAAACCCAAGAGGATAGGGTTACAAAGCCTCCCTATCCTTTTGTGCGGAGGAATGCCCGAGTGAATCACTCGGGCCGGTTTGCTGGTGCGTTTTCAGAAATTCGAAGTGACGAGCGGCGGATATTTCGAGCGCCATTTTTGTTGACCTGTGACGTACGCATTCCCAATGCGCATAGCGTTCGGCTAACTTCGACTCCAAGATCGAATGTATCATAGGATGCCTGCTGTCAGTCGTGACGTCATGACGAAGTTAGCCGAACGCTATGCGCATAGGGAATGCGTACATCACAGGTCAACAGAAATGGCGCTCGAAATATCCACCGCTCGTCACTTCGAATTTTTGTAACAGGTTATATTAGTTTCATACAGAGTATTGCGATACATAGTAAGTTCCCGGATAGCGGAGAAAGGTTCGTGTTGAGAATAAACCCAGTTTGGAAGTTCAGGTCTCTGAAAACGCACCAGCAAACCGGCCCGAGTGATTCACTCGGGCATTCCCCCGCACAAAAGGATAGGGAGGCTTTGTAACCCTATCCTCTTGGGTTTGGGTTACATTATTGTATCTACCGGCGCCATTGCTCTCGCGGCTCCACTGTTGCACGCTTACACTAATATATATATATTACACTATATATATTGCTGAGAGGGTCTATGTCCCCCGGGGTACTGCCGGAAGGTACCCTGGGTACGGTCCGGTATACCGGAACGTACCCTGGTACTATCTAATATGCCGGACCGTACCTCTCCTACTCCACTAACGAGTCTAGGGAGTCGCCTACGCCTACTCCCTAACCCTAACCCTAACTCTATCCCTAACCCTAACCCTAATCTTAACCCTAACCATATCAAATAGTGACCAGAGTACGTTCCGGCAGTACCCTGGGGGACATAGACGCTATAAGCATATATATTAGTGTAAGCGTGCAACAGTGGAACCACGAGAACAATGGCGCCGGCAGCGTATATGGTTGCACGTAGGATTTAGACGGAATTTACAGGAAACTGTCGGC